AGGCTGGAGATGTAACTGACTGATAGAGTGCTTTCTTAGAATGCAAAAGACCCAGGGTTCAATCCTCAATACTGAAAAAAAAAATTAAGGCTATGTATAAGGTATATATGAAGAATAAATTAATTTTGTGTTTAGATTTAGATCCTAACCCCAAGATATCTAAATATGTATATATAAATATTCCCAAATCAGAAACACTTTTGGTCCCATTCTTTGGATAAGAGATACTCATATACAATTCAGCGGTTTCTGATTCACAGTGTTCTTCCAACCACTATCTAACTGCAGAATATTTTTACCATCCCCAAAAGAAGACCTGTACCCATTAAGCAGACTCCTTATTTTCCTCTCTTCCAGGCTCCTTTCCACCCCTGATATACTTTCTTTTCCTATGAACTTACCTATTTTGAACATTTCATATAAATGGATCATATAATATGTGGCTTTGTATCTGCCTTTTTTTTCACATAGCATAATCTTTACAAGGTTTGCCTGTGCTATAACATATATTAGTACTTTATTCCTTTTTATGACTGAATAACATTTCATCATGTGAGTATGTCACATTTCATGCATCCATTGATGGATATTTGGGTTGTTTCATTTTATTTATTTATTGTTTGTTTGTATTTCTTCTGTCAATCTAAGAATCTGTTACAAATCCAAGGACTTGAAGATTTACACATATATTTTCTTTTAAAAGTTTTTTTAATTTTATCTTTTTACTTGGGTCTTTGATAGAAAGGAAAATTTTATGGTTTGAGACTATTATAGGTTCTTTAGAGAACAACTCTGGTAGAAGAAAATGAAGATACAGAGCAGAATAAACTGTGCACCTGATCTTGTTTCCACAGTCTAAGTATATGCTTTCTTTGGATACTAGATTTCTATCCATAAGAACAAATATATATTTTAACTGAATTTTTTATGAAATATAAGTTGACATATCTTTCTTTCTACTCTTGCTGTATATGAATAGGTATGGCCATTATTCCTAAATTAACTCCCCAATAAAGAACTCAAACAATGTATTTGGGAGTGGATCCTGGAGATTGAACTCAAGGGCACTTATGCACTGAACCACATCCCCAGCCCTTTAAAATTTTTTTTGAGACAGGGTCTCACTAAATTGCTGAGGCTAGCCTTGAACTTGYAATTCTCATGCCTCAGCCAGGAAAGTCACTAATATTACAGGCACGTATCACCACATAACAGTTCAAACGATATATTTTAAAATTCAGTCAGTTAAATGGAATAATAATCAGTACAATAGTTAAATACAAAATTATTTAAAGAATGTTTGCTTTCTCCTATAAACTTGAACTTGCTTCAACTTCCGGTCAGGAGGAGATTCTGAAACTATGGCAAAAGTAGAGGTAATTGAAAACATACCCTTGCTCATAAAAAATAGATAATTCAGAGTTCAGGARGCTCAAAGCAGCTGAATGTGTGGGGAAGCATTCTGAAA